GAGTGAGGGGAGGGGCACTGCCTATATGTAAAGGAAACAGAAACCTTAAAGGTTTCAGGATTATCAGGCAGTCAGAGCTTCAGTCGTCATTACGACAGGTGTAACTAACTTTGATTTATTTATAAAAGTTTATATAAGGATAAATATGTAAATCCAGGCTTGGGACTACACCAGCCTCACTGACTCCTCCCAGTCTCAAACTGGTCGATGTGCCATATTATTTGTTACAGTGAAAAGGCTCCACAGCCAGCACGGTCACTCTGCAGCTACATTAACCTTCTAATGTAAATATGTAGCTGAGGAAATGCAGCTTTTGGCACTTTTTGCCTTACAAAGAAGAAGCAGCTGTATTTGGGCCACGTTCCCTTCCCACTGGTGGGTAATATACCAGTTTAATTCACAATATCTAAACACATTAAAACAGTTTAAAACAATATTAAATGTTAATTGGCAAAAATAAAACAACTCGAAATCCTGTATCTTCCTCCATCGCTCCTCCGATCAACAGGCTTTACCGTCTTTCTCTTGCCTTCCTTAGATAATAAGATATTTCTCCGCCCTTCATTATTTTCCACTTAAGCTTTTATTACCTCATTGTTTGGACGACGGTGTCTGTGATTAAAGCTTCATAATGAAGTATCGCATTAGGAAGATGAAACAAAGTTAAAGTTAGTTTAACTCCGGCAACATTAAACCACAGCAGCTCTGTTTTCGCCGCGACTCACGAAATGACATTACGACAGCAGTCGCAGAACAATTTGAGCTATTAATCTGTTTTATTACCACACTGTCAAAATAGCACGACTCTCATTGACAAAGAATCTGACACTGTTGAATGCAATTTGAAAATATGAAGCGCTTTCCCGGCTTAAAATCTCAAATCACGTTCAAGTGGATATCGACATGAAGCGAGGCTTCGGCTCTATAAAGACTCATAAAGATATAACTGAATTAAAGCTCCGCTAGTTCATTTCCTCCACTTCTCCTTCGCTTACTTTAAATATTACTCTTCGCCTCCCCGCCCGCCTTTATTTATTTTTTATCTCAGCTTCCGTCTGTGAATCCTCGCATCAAGCCGCTGCCGTTTGTGCACCGGTGTTTGGTTATATTGAGGCCATCTATCTGCGCTGTCATTGGCTCTCAGGAGTTTTTTAATGCGCTGTGACACAAAGCTGCATCTTGTCTCTGTTTTTAAAAGTTGCTGAGAGGCAGGCCTGCGTGATAGATGACTCTGTGCATGTGTGTGCAGCAGCCCAACAGCTGTAAGCAGCCCTTTTAGAAAGAGTCAGTGAAAGTGTGTGTTTATGAGAGAGCGGGGCAGGTGCAGATGACATATAACAAGTCCTTGTTTCCCCTGAAATCCATCAGAAATCTCTTAAATACCGGGGAATTAGTAAGGATCACATTACTCCCAATTACTGTCAGACACGGACAGAAATCCTTCCAATTATCCTTTTGAATATGTGACCCGTGTAACTGTGAGCGCGCTATCCACATAACAGCATTAAGGAAGTCATCCCTAAACAGGTATTACATAGTTGAATTTCCCTTCAAACTGAGCGCTCAGCGGCTTCGCTGTTCTGCCTGGAATGTTTTCAATTCCTCGTTTTGGTTTGATGACTCTCTCAATTATGTTAAACTAGTTGTTGCATGAGCCAGGAAGCTGTTCTCATTCATTACATCTGTTTCTCTCGTCTGTCTTTCTCACACACACACACAGACCACCAGCCCCTCGTTTGGTCTTAACTCTTCTCCAGCTGTGTGCCAATTTGCCTCCTCCAGAGTGCGTGGGGTTCGGGAGGGGGGTGATTAGGAGTTACGGGCTGTATTTAAACAGCGCGCCTGTCCTCTTTCGTGTGTTGATGATAAATGTTCTCACTGTGTGCATGTCTACATAAGTGTTTTAGTTCTCATACTGGGTGTGTGTATGCATGCCAGTAATGGGTTCCATCCACATCGCTCCCTAATCCCCAGCTGCCGCGCGGTGCTGACTGGGTTCCTGGAGGGAGAATTCCAAACTTGCCACCGGATTTACAGTGGATTCTCTACAGATTACCACTGGATTTCTGCCCCGTTCCCAATATGGAAACTCTCATAGCACACTGGGGATCACGATATTATTTTTCAAGTATTCATTAACTGGTAGCGAATGAATCTTTTATTCAAATGATGCTTTTTTCCTATATTAAAGCACAAAGAGTGTGTGTGTGTGTTCGACGTTTTTAAATTTCATTTACAAAACCAATACAAGTAAACCTCAGAAATCCCCGCTCGTGGTCTCCAGTAGCTCCGTCTTCGACTGCTGGAGTAACAAAGGTTTGGAGTCGAGGCGTGAGAGAGAAATGTGAGCCGGCCACAAGCAGTCAGTTCAGCTGCACAGAGCCATTCGAACCAGTGCGCACTTCATAACTGGGACCACTGAGAAGCCACAGAGTTGGAATCAAAGTGTTGGTGGACAGAACAGTCGGGCGCACCGTGACCCTTTATCACTCGCGTGTCATCCAGACCACCGGTCCCCAACCCCCGGGCCACGGCCTGGTACCGGTCCGTGAGTTGTTTGGTACCGGGCCGCGAGAGTCGAGGCTCGGGTGTGAAATTTATGGTTTTCAGGGGTTTTATCATTAACTCGGTTTCCCTGGGTCTTTCCCTCTTATTTTGAAAGAAATATTTATGTTACCATAGCGACCCGAGAGGAGGATGTTACTCTCAGTGTTGTTGGTGCATTTCAGGACGCTGCTAATAAAGTTACACAATTACTCAATGAATTCATGTTTATTGTTATATTTACAAAATCCCACAGTTTTTGTCTCGGTCCTATCATTTTATTTTGTTGTATTTATCCGCGACACCTTAAAGGCCGGTACATGAAACTATTGTCTGACATTGACCCGCTCCATGGTGCAAAAGAGGTTGGGGACCTCTGATCCAGACGACCTCCACTTTTTGTCATTTTGGTTGTAACATAAAAAAATTATTCTCATCTATCAGGAAACGTTTGAATTTTCTCTCCAGACTGAAATGTGAAGCTGATTTTTCTGTCTGTGTTCAGACAGCAGTGCCTTGATTACTCAATGATACTCCTACTTTTTTTTTGCCGTGCATCGCCACTATTTGCGTAATCCCCGCACCCTCCACCTGTGCTTATTTACTCCATCTTTGTCTTATCACCTCTGGTCCTTTCTGCTTTATCTGATTTTCTCTCTGTGTGCAGGTTTGTTGCAAATGGAGGCTGATAGCATCTGATAAAAAGTGACACTAAGTTCTCTAATTTGACAGCCTAAAATCTTCCCCCACCCAGCCCTAAATAAGAAAATACACAGACTACAGTAAAGTCATCATGTAAGCGTGTTGATCACTCCTCATCATCTTAATCTTAGAGATGATGTCTTGTTTTCCAGCTCCTGTTTTGATCCTCCTCATCTCTCGTCTTATCTCTGTTTTTCATCTCCCATACCTTCCTCTTAACTTTGCCCCCCTCCTTATCGCTCTCTTTCCTGCCCTCTTCACCCCTCTCCACCGCTCTTATCTCTGCCTCTGTGACATTATCATGTCTGGCGGCCAAACGCTAACTGACAGATGGGCTGACTGATACGGGGCACAGGTATACAGGCTCAGGGGTGAACAGCAAGCCCTGCAGCCTGGTGAACAGGCAGACTCGTAGTCATAAAGAGCGAGAGAGACATGGAGTCGGACAGACACATGGAGTCAGACAGACACATGGACAGACGGCTAGAAGACGGACGTGAAAGAAAGAAGAGCAGACAAAACGGCTGCGGCCATTAAGAGCAGAGAAATCTGAGCCGTCCGGCTGAGACGCTGACCCGGAGCAACGTACGGCGAAGAAGACAGGTGTGTGTGTGTGTGTGTGTGTGTGTGTGCTGAAACACACATAAACATGCTAACCATGGAGTCGGGAGGGGCAGCAGATGACATCCCAAACATGAAGGGCATGCAGTTAGTTAGACACTTCCCACTGCTGACCACCCATCCTGACACACACAAGCATCAGCATAGAGACCACCATCTGACTCAGTGAGATATATGTTTATATGATAAACATGAATTCAGGATGGATATCCTGCAGTAGATGGAGAGATGCGTGCAGACAAATGAAAGAGACAGAAAGACGGAGAGATAAAATCTAATACCTCGTAATGTTTGCTATGTGGACAACATGTGTTTGTGTACTCGCTTTCCCCGGCACAGGACATCGATATCTGTTCACGGGACGCGGCTGGATTACCACAGCTGTGCGTGTGTCTTCGCTTGCGTTAACTGAGCCCTAGCCTACTTAAAACTGTCACGTGTCACTTATATTCTGTTGCTATGTGATGTTTGGCCGGGATGAGCCGCGAGCTGAGCGCGTGCTTCGCCCTCTCTCTTCTCTGTCGCCCGCAACAAATTGTTTTCAGCAGGTTTTCCTGAATATTTCAGATTCAGTGCGGTAGCTGTTGGTAGGCTCTTTGCTAAGGTACGTGAAGGGAGCATCACTCTGACGGCGCTGTGCCAGCGGTTGGTTGATTATTTGTTTTATTGTGAAGGTGCTGGGGCAGAGCGGGAGGTTAACGCTGCGTCTGTGCTCGGGTCTCGTGTTTATTCCTCTGATTATCTTTCATAACACTGTCTGTTCTGTTTGTTCGTGCATTTGTGTTGATTTTACATGAAAACAGCAACAAATGGTCACGGCTCTTCTTCTGCCACGGCCATCGGAGTCACACAGCAGTGAACTCTGAGCCAACTCCTCCTGTGTTTGGGGTCCGGTTCATTGAGCGACTTCTCAGCAGTTGGAAAAAAGGACGCTTCGTACTATAAACAAGTTCAGTCGTGGAGATTTGCCCAGAACAAGTTTTTGAACCATCCAGCCACTGGCTGCATCTGCCTTATGACTGACTGGTTGAGGATGCAACGTTACCAATGGCAACATCCGGCGGTTTCTTTGCTTCAGTCTGATTGTGCTCTCAAATTTCTCTCTTTTAAATGCATAAAATTCTCTTTTCCAGACGAGGTCCGTTAGATGCAGCTGACTACCCCATGCAGCCATGGTCAGGTCCCTACCCCGGGCCTCCACACGCCCAGCAGGGATACCCCCAGGCACCATCCTACCCCACCTCCCAGTCTGCCCCATCTTACCCCAACTACCCACCTGGTCAGCCATACCCACGGCAAGGAGACCCTCGAGGCATTGACCCTGGCTACTACCCCCACCCTAGGTAATTATATGCAGGAAAGTACCCTCATACCAGGATCTGCATGTGTACTGTACGTACCGCTATGATGCTGTTGTGCTGGTTTTGTGATTCCAGTGCAGCGTACCTGGACGAGGGGGCGGAGCTCTAGATTATGAGCTGTTGCCTGCTAAACTAAAACTAGATCTCAGACTTCTCAAGCTGCCTGTTAGTCCAAATAGTCACAAAGAAAGCCAAATTATTTGACAGATAACCACATTATAGACACCAACAGCCTTCAGTAGACGGCCGCTAGCTACAGCTGCCTCCATCGGCATCCACCGGTCACTCAAAGCAGCTACGCCCTTAAACTTAAGCCTTAATACGTTTAAACAAAACATCACCTGCACACCTGTCAGGGAAATTAGCCAGAGAGGCCCAAACCTTTATTAGTGTGACTGACGTCCGTGCACAGCCTCAAGTGGCCGATCGCAGGAACTGCAGTTTTGGGGTTCAGCACCGATCATATTGAAGATTTGATCATCTTTCATATTACTGCCGCTCATCTTCGTCTTCCCTCTCGTCTGACTCTTCCTTCTTTTCCATGTCGGAGTATTTTGCTGTTCTTTGATCCAAGGTTGTTCTCTAGCTCTCAGCAGAGAGGGCCCCTGCGGCAGGATGTGCCCCCATCTCCCACCCCGCCTCTTCGGGGACTGCGGTACGACACGATGACACGTGGAACTGGGGGTGGGGGTTACAGGTAGGGCCGATTTGTGGATGGAGACCATTCCAGGTAAATGCTGAGCTCTAAAATGCTTCTTCCTCCTAGATAATGAATAAAATTCTGCCGCTGTACTCGAGTAATCCGGCACAGCCCTCTGTAACTTTAAGAATATGTTTGATTGGATACAGGCACCAGTGGGAGCTCGGTACAGACCAGCGTGGCTTTACTCGGGAGGGAGGAGGACGGCAACAGCAAACAAACCCAAAGCAGAAGACGGCGTGACTGCAGCTGTGCAGACACATCGAGTCCTGACATGACAATAAGCACAAAGTCACGTCTTCGTATTCTGAGTTTTCCTGCGTTCAGCTCTCCACTGAAGCAGAGTTGAAACCTCATAATGCGATGATCCGAATCCTCGTCATTATCAAACCGTGTGTGTGTTGGTAGGGGTGTACGGTAAGGTAAAGGAGGTTAATTACAGAGTAGAGGAAGCGTAATGTCTTGTTGTTTGAAGTCATTTAAATTGCTTTGAATCTTCGGAAAGTTTAAAATGAGCAGGTTTTTACTTTTCACTGTATTCTGATTAAGTTGTCTCCTGTAAGAATCTGTCAGGGCTGCAGAGGTAATTGGATCCATTTAAATTAAGCTCACATTCACAGCCGCTGCTGCAGCAGGATAAAGAACAATATCCACAAATGCAACCTAAAGTAACGCACTAACACTGACTGTAGATGGAGGTTCATGCAGATATGAATAACTCTTTATTATGTTTGTGTAATGAAAGCGTATTTATTCTCGAGATCCGACCGTTTATGTAGGCAAAGATGGGACTGCAGCGCCTCCGCTTTTCCAAAACATTCCTCCTTTCCTCTCTTAGTAATGGCTGCTGGAACACATTACAGCGCTCCAATCAGCACTCTGGAACGCTTTATTCCTCCAGATAAACAAAAAAACTCGTTTAGAGGCCGGCCGATGTCTGAAGTGACCAATCAGGGATCATGCCACTAATACCAGCACAGATTTCATCCTTATGAGTAATCTGATCATATCCTGTATTATCAAAAAGATTTGATAATACAGAGTTATTGATACGTGTGAATCACACTGAAGACCACTATATGAATGATCTGTCCTCGCTGTTCGGTGCAGGACGAGGCGGAGCCCACGTCTGCTCCGTGGTTTGCTCCACGTTTGTTTGACCCTGTTGCTGCGTTTCGAAGCAGCTTAAGAAGTACGAAATCTCATTTTAGCAGAATTGGAAATTATCTATGGATGGTCGCTTTGTTTAAAAAGACCTCCACATGAATGTATGATGAGCTTACGTTTTACAGACACGTCCACCTGTGTGGAGTGATTTGATTTTCCGACTTCCTGCAAGAAGCTCCGGAAAAGGCAGGACGACAATAACAATCAAGGTAGCCGGGTGTTCCACAGGTGGAGCTGTTTTCATTCTGCCTTCTTTTAAAGCGTCTCTGATGTGTTGGAGCTGTTTGAGCTGCTTTTCCACACCGTCGAGTAAACCGGACAGAGAGGATTTTCTTTTTTGGGCAGCTTTTTGCAGAGCGGGGATAGAGGTCGCTTTCACTGTGTTACTCTGCACCGCGCGCTCTGCTTTGGATTTGAAGGACGTTTCAGTGACCCGACGGTGTAGGCATCACTGCTCGAACATGAAGTGAGCTTCAGAGTGCTGTCAGCGCCGCACCATAATGCAGATCCATTTTGCCACTTAGCAAAAGTTAAGTGTGACTAAGAGTTAAAGCCTTGCATAACATCTGTGTTTCACACCACAAAGCTCAGCAGAATTACTTTCAATGGAGATTAAATGTCTAAAATGACATCTCGGTATTGGGTGGACCGCGGTTCTCTCAGTGTGGCCGAGGCTGAAGGTCCGCTAACCTGAATGTAACATGTAGATTTTATCAGAAAGGTTTTTGTGTATCAAGAGTTGGATAAAGGGAGGTTAAGGAAAGGTAGAGAAAGATGTGAGGAACAGGTAGAAAAGGAAAAGTGGGAAATAAAGAGAGAAATCCCAGGAATGTGTAATATTTCAGACTAAATATGAAAAGGAAACGGTTGAAGAAATGGTCCGAGAGGTAAATGCAGTGCAATTTGTGCAGCATTAGTTGTGCTGTAGGAGTGAATGTAGTGACTGTGTGAAGTTTTCATAATTATTTCTCCTTTTGTGTTGTCACGTTTCACCAGTGTGAAAACCAGACTTGCAAATCAAGTAATAAAGCACATTTCCGGAGACTGATGAACAAATCACCTGCCGAGTTTAGAGCAGAAACACTGAAACAACTCGCGTCCCCTCAGATTACTTTCTCCTCGCTGATGATGATGATGTTACAGAGTGAGCAGCACCTGAGAAAATGATCCTTCTGAGAACATGTGAAGGATTTTCATGCCAAACATGTCAGGAGTCTCCCCGCTGTGTGTACCTGAATGCTGGGTCAGCGCCTGGAGAAGCTTTTAAACAGTATTTGAAAAACGTGACACGTTGCATGAAGGCGTATCTGTCTCATTACACAGTTTTCACGTATGTAACTCTTCACAAGCATTTATTTTTACGTTTCTTTTTTTAATGCTAGTTGATGATGTTGAATCGGACCAGAGCCACGGGATGTTTGGCTTTTGTTGCCACGGGTACGCTGCAGAGCTTCGATCGCTTTTTTCCTCCTCGTGTTGTTAAAACTGCACGAGCAGTTTTAAACTCGGCGCAGCGCGACTGACGCATCGAGCGCCCTGCAGGGCTCTTTGGTCTTTAGCAAGTTGCACAAGTTGAAGGTACTCGCTAGAATCTTCTGTACGAAGAGTTTCTGCTACTCCTGCTTCACCTTTTAAAGAGATGTAGAAGGAACCAACTAATAACCTCTGTTACCTAGAAGTATAACATGCTTTATCACAACGCTCGAATATATGAAAAAGTCAAATTTCATTTTATAATGTAACAATTCTGTCATTGTTTTCCAACTTTTTTATATTTTGTATATAACTTTTTGCATTAAAATATTCATTTTTAAACACATCTGGTCGACGACGTCATACTTTACTTCTCTTTAAGACACAATGCATGCCGAGCACATCTGCTGAGGTTAATTAAATATGAGTCAGGAGAAATTATTTCCCTCGTGTCCCCCGTACCCTGCAAGGTGAATCATTAACATTGCCAACCCAATTTAGTCCATCGTTTAAGCAGCTGATAAATTGTACTTTTGTGATAAGAGATAGATGGCCACAAATTAATGTAAGACTAATTATCAATTAGAAAAGGGAGATAAGGAGCGCTGATTACTGTGCAAAGTTTTCCTAGTTTTTCTGGCGTGTTGCCGGCGCGCTGCTAGGTCACTTCCCTCGGCTTAATAAGTATTTAGTGGCCGTGGGTAGCGTAAGGTGCTTTCTTATTTGTCAGACACTAGGTGCCGGACTGTGGCTCAGAGAAGTTGGTAGTAATGAGACACAGAGGCCAAGGAAGCATTTTATCAGGCAGGGCGTAATTAGAATATCCCAGACCTGTTGGCCAATGGGGAGAGAGCAAAGGGAAGTAATTAAATTCTCTTGAGTCACTGCCAAGGTTCAGTATGGATCTGCAGAGTGTGTGTGTGTGTGTGTGTGTCCAATATTCTGATTGTGTCTGTGCAGGTGTTTTGTTTTAATGCATGTTAGAACTCGGATTAGTTTACCAGACTAATTGCAGTGCACCTCTGGACTCTCGTCAGCGCCCGGATCAAACGTGTCGCTGAAGTTAAGCAAAAGTGAGTCAGCGTTACACCGCAGTGACGGATACACCCACAGGACGGTCTTTTCCGTGGGATCGTTCCCTCTATTTTGACTCGTATCAGCCTGATGTTTGAAGATGCTCCACGATGTCAAATAAAATGTAACAAGCCTGTTCTGAGGACGTGAGGAGTAGAAAGCTCAGATATTTGTGTAAAGATGGAAAAAACTGTCAGAAAGATTAACACCTGAAAATTCTGCTCAGGTACAGTAATTTGTCCTTTGTTGTTTCCCACCTCCAAGCAACAAAATCAACGGCGTCCTGGTGACGATGATGCGGCTGAGCAGGTCATTGGACAGCTGAGCAGCTGGAAATTAGTACAAGACCAAAGTTTCAGTTTCTAACAGAACTGATCGTCTGATTCAGCTTAAATCTGTAAAATCTGTAAAATGCAGGAGGAGCTGGTGTACTCAGTATATCAGAAGTGTATCATATATGGGTGGAAGCAGAGTCTTGACTCAGCAGTGCTTCCTAATCCAGCGCAGCTCCAAACACACTCGCCTGTTAGCCAGAGGCAGGAAGTATTGACCCACTCAGGTCTGTGAGCTTCACCTCATATTTATTTTTCTGACAGTTTTTTTACTTTTACTCTCTTTTCAACAGAAATATCTGTTCGCTGCTCCTTTTGTTTCTTCATTCTGCTTCTCCCTTCAGGGCAGGGGTGTCAAACATAAGGCCCGGGGGCCAGAATCGCCCCATCAAAGACGCCAACCTGGCACACTGGACTGGTTTGGAGAGCGTGAAGGAAAAGATAAATGTTGGAAATGTAACAGTGTTTTCATAAATGTTGCAGCTTTTGATGTTAAAGACTTCCACAGCAACGTTTCACACTATGTGATAGTTAAATAATTAAATGAAAGTTTTTAACTGTCCAGCAGAGGAATTTCTATTTTCTCTTCAGAGTTTCAAACATAAAACAACAAAGTTTTCTGTGAATTAACAAAAACTTTGTTTTATACTTAATGACAGTCTGGGCAATGACATGGCCGAGCTTTTTGGCCAAGTCGTGTTGACAGATCCTGAAAAACTGAGACTGCTGAAATGGCGCTTCTTCTTTCATACATTAAAATTAAATGTGTAGTTAGACTTTGTTACACTCACAGAAAGAGTGAGTTTCATTGATCCAGCCCACTAAAGTTCAGAGTGGGCTGAGTCTCCTGGTGTGTCGATTATCAGAGCTAGTTACGTGTGACTGATGTGAAAGATATGAGTCGGTTAGTTTTGCACAAAAATAGCTGTTAGAAATGTCCAAAGAGCTACTTTATACTTTAAGTACATTTCACAGCGTGTACTTTTACACTTTTACTTGAGTAAAGAAGTTGAAGGAGTACTTCAGCTTTTACCAGATGGATGAGTACAACAGCTGAAAATGTCAACAGAAGTATCAGCTTCAGTGAAGAATGTCAGGAGTACTGCCGCCTCTCTCTTTAAGCACTAATAATGATGTTTTTTATTAATTTAGCTGGAAAAACTGGACATGAATCAAACCCACATTCAGGAAAGTGCAGTACTGAATACACAAACAGGACCAACACACTGACTGCAGTAACCTGGTCTGCAGTGAACAGCGACGGCGAGACTTTACAACCCCTGGGCCACGGACCGGTACTGGTCCATGAGTCGTTTGGTACCGGACCGGGTGTGAAATTTATGGTTTTCATCATTTTTATTAGTTTTTATCATT